AAAGGAAACCCAGCTGCTGCTTTCAAAGAAAACGGTTCGGAGAGCAAAGACAAGCACAGACGAGCTGGAAGTGAAGATTTACTGGGGATGAGGGAAGGCTTAGAGCAATGGGGAGAATCTGGCAAAAAATCAAACGGCTGCAAGGAGTTACGTCTGATTTGTGGATACAGAGTAAAGCAGGGGAAAGACTCTGTGTGTGCCAGACTGGGTCTCGAGATGAAAACAGGAAATGGGGAGATTGGATCTGAGAGATATGATCATCTTTTCCTCTTAAAAAGAACACAGATGAGGCTGGAAAGATGGTTTAATAGGTAGAGGCAATGCCACCAAACCTCCCAGATATCCATGTAGTAGAAGAGAGAAGGCTCCCACAAGCTGCCCTCTGACTCCTCCTCCCCATGCACGCACACATGCATGCACACACACACACCTACATACACACACACACACACACACACACACACACACACACACACTGACTTTTTTAAAAAGTGAATGTATTGACTCATATAAGTCAAACTTCAAGAATATGTTCACTTTCAAACACTGTCTGAAGAAAGGGGTTAAATGATGTTAGCTAACACTGGCTTATCCCACTGTCTTTGACGCCTTCCTCTGGGTTTCTATACTGCATGTCTTACCATGTCTTTATATCTTCACAAGTGACCCCCTCTCCAGTGGGATCTTGGAGATCCACTGAAGTCTACCAGGTTCACCTGAAACAGAACCATACTTGCAGGTCTAGGCTGTGTCAGCATCGTAAGAACAGGCGAGTCAGAGGGACGGTGGTGGTGCAGGCCTTAAATCCCAGCACTTGGGAGGCAGAGGCAGGAGGGTCTCTGTGAGCTCAAGGCCAGCCTGGTCTACAAGAGTGAGTTCCAGGACAGGCACCAAAACTATAGAGAAACCCTGTCTTGCGGGGGGGGAGGGGGGGGGGATCAAATAACAGGTAACGCTTCTTATCTAGATAACATTGAAGCCTCAGGCTATGGTTTTAATTTAAAATGTTTCCCGTGGTCTCAAGCGTTTGAATGCTTGGTTCCTTTTAGGGACAATGTTTTAGAAGGGTTTGAAGCCTTTGAGAAGTATGGAGACTTTGGAGGTGGAGCCTCACTGAAGGAAGTAGGCCTGTGAGGCGGGGAGGGGAGTAGTGGGGTGGGCTTTGAGATGATAAAGCCTGGCTCCACATTCTGCTCATTCTCAGCAACCTGACTGTGAACACAACATGACCAGCTGCTTCTCTCTTGCCTCCAGGCCTCTCCCACCAAGGTGAACTGTGTCCAACCAAACTGTAAGGCAAAACAAACCTCTTAGACTGCTTCCTTTCCAGTTTCCTGGATGACAAAAGTAACTACTTCACTTCGTAACCAAAGTCTACTGTTCTTTACTGTGTTTTCTCCTTTTACACATTGAAGCCGCAAACTACAGGAATGTCAATGGAAAACTCAATTACCAAAATGCTCTCAAACTATTTTTAATTAAGACAGATGCCATTTCAGATTTAAAAAAAAAACTTTTTTGTTTGCTATATTTTGTGGTATTGAACATTTTTAGACCCCTATGATCATCATATACCTTACAACTGGACAAATCTAAAACCTGCCATGTCACCCAAAGACATGACATTTATTGGTATCTATCTGAGAAGAAAGAGTCAGTGAAGAGATGTCACAGAAAGCTGAAAGAGAAGATTATTTGGGGCAGAAGAAATTTGGCAGCATCCAGAGTCTCAAAGCATCTAGAACTTCTGACCATACATACATGGTTGGCTGCAAAAGCCATCCATGCGAATTTCTAAAGAATAGACTTTGAAACACTTTACAGATCACAGATTTGTCCTCAAATATTTGTACAGTTGGGGAGGAAGAGAATGGGAAGTAGGGAGAGAGGAGAAATGCATACAAGAAAGGAGAAGGAGCTTCAAATACCTTATCACAGGCTCTTGGTCTTCGAATGCAGAAGCTAACACATTAGTGATTTGAGGTCCTCAATGGACATTAAAACATCCAAAAATTGTGCTGAGAAGGCTGACTCTCTTGAGTCATTTACAGACTCCCTGATTCTGCAGTGTGGGCAGTTCCTAAGATCTTTCTTTTAACATCCTCGGTCAGTCTGATAGCAGGGGAAGAGACCTGAACTAAATCATAACTTGCTGTGTCCAATTAAACCAGGCTTTGAAGAACTACCACTTTGTGGTTGTTTGACTGAGAATGGCCCCCATTGGCTCATGTATGTGAATGCTTAGTCACCAGTTAGTTGGGCTCTTTAGGAAGGATTAGGAAGTGGGACCTTGTTGGAAGAGGTGTTCCAATGGAACTTGTCTTTGAGGTTTCTAAAGTCCATCCCAGGTCCTCTTCCCCTCTTTGCCTGCTGTCTGCAAGATCAGGATGTATCTCTCAGCCAGTCCTCCAGAACCATGCCTGCCTGCTTGCTTCCATGTTCCTCCACCCCATAAGATGATAACACACTAACCCTCTGAAGCAAGGCCCCAATTGAATGCTTTCTCCTATACGATGCCTTGACCATTGTGTTTCTTCACAGCAGTAGGAGAGCAACTAAGAAACATGCACCCTAGGAGGAGTGAAAAATTCAGTTTCAGTCTTTTTCATTCATGAGGAACTTTTACCAATTAGCTGAACTTCATAAATACAAGCCTCCAGAAGACAAGCAACATGAATGAAGACTAGTTCTTAGACACAAAATAGAGTTTATGATGAAAAGAAACACTACAGAAGAGGTTACTATTATGTAAAGCCATGTAAGTCTGTTAAAAAAGGATCTTAAGAATTTATTTAAGTACACAGTCACTGATAAAGAACAGATTCGACCATGTCACAGCAATACAGCTGCTGATCCAACCACTCCTTCCTCTGGCCCTGACCACGCGAGCAAGCGAGCACAAGGGTGAGGGAACCGAGCAAGAGACCCTTTCCTCAGCTTTTAAGCGGTCACGTACCACACCCTACCGCTCATAACCCCCCAAAGTCATTGACTAAAGGGATTGAAATCCCACAACAGGTTACATCTAGTACCGAATAAACTGGACATTTTGAAGGGCTCCTATTTTGAATGGTTACTTGGAGACCAGGAGAAGAAGCTTCTGGAACATCAGACCAAACCTCTGCTTGTGTGTAAGCATTTTAGTAAATGTCCCTGAGAAATTTTGAGCTTTGGTTGTTTTCCAAAATGATTTCAGGGCCTTTGGAATGTCTGCAGAAGCAGCAGTTAGCTGTGGTCCTTCCACGTCTCCCTGTGCAGATCCAACTTCTGACTCATCTGATTACATCATGTAATGTGACCAGAGGAGGAAGCATGGTATAATACGTGGTCCGACTTCACTTATGCAAGTACTGCTCATATTATAACCCACTCGTCATCCGGGGTCCACGGTGGCTTTATCCCGTCCACTAATTTTACAACCAGGTCTATTTCCATGGAACTTATTTCTGCTGCAATTGCAGGATATTTGTCTGTACTGTGTCTTCGCAGAGTCCAAAAATCTATGAACAACAACCTAAGATCATTTCTGATCTGATTTCATAGACCCATCCAAAAGATGGTTTAAACAATAATTCATATATGCATATTTAATGATACTTCAAGGGCACATAGTGTATTATAAGGCAGCAATGGAATATTACAATTAAAAATACATATTTGTATCTATTGGAAAACTAATTTTTTAACAAAATAAAGCATAATTAGATTAAAAAAACATTATATCAATGTTATAAAAGGCAAGCCAACAGAAAAATCAAGAGCCCCAAAGAAGGTACAAAAATCAGAGACCCACTCATTCACACATTCAGAAGTCCCATAAAAGTACTGAATGAAAGCTATAATATATACATGGACGACCTGGTAGAGACCCGTGTCAGCACTGTGATTCTGCTTCAAGCTTGTGTGTTCATATGAGCTTTGTTAAGTTGTCTTCAAGGGCCTTATTCCCTTGATGTCCTCCATCCCTTGTCTCCCCCACTCCTTTTGCCCCAGAAAACTCAAAAACTTTTCTTTTTAATCAAAGTTAATTTTAAAAGAAAATGCGTAAGGTTAGCAACAATTAGACAGTGATTAAAAGCTTATGTTTTGAATGAAATGTTCACCCCAACTCTGACAGTACTTTTGGGATCTGAGAGTAAAATACTTAAATCTCTGAGTCTTGAGATTAACAACTTTAACCTGGGCAGAACAGTATGTACTTTTCAGACTTTCAGAAGAATTAAAAGACCAATTTCATATAAAACACTTAGTACCATGACTGTAATATAACAAGTAATTACAATGATCTTGGTCAGATAATTACCCTAATGGCTCAATTTAGAAAGAATTTATTAGTTCCCGTGGACTCTTAAACGAATGAGCCTGATTGTTTTAGATTATATCTGAAAATCTACAAAGGGACTAAAAACATTCTATACTTCCTTAATTTTACAAAGCAAGGAAGCCAGAGTAACAGAAGACACCCTTTTTACCTTAAAGATTTACTTATACTTACATTTTACATGTATGAGTATTTTGTCCCCCTCTGGCCTTTTGCTTTTGTGCACACTCAGTACCGCCACCAGAGGCCAGAAGAAGGATCCCCAAGATCCCCTAGAGTTATAGGCGGTTGTGAGCCTCTCTGAGGGCGCTGGGAACTGAACCTAGGTCTTCCACAGGAGCAGACAGTGTTCTTAACCACCAAGCCATCATCCCTCCAGCCCCCAGACCACAGTTTTTTATCATAATGTGGTGAAGATGGACATTCTAAAACTATTAACTGCTGTCTTAGATGGTACTGAAAATTAAACCAGCGGACATCCCCTCTCTTTCCAGCCTCGTATCCGTACCTAATGAGGAAGAGAAGACAAATGAAGACTAAACTTCATGTGAAGTGTCAGTCAGAGGCCCTTCCCATCTAGAACCCCCCCACACCCCTCACGGTACTTCCCCTCCAAATGTGCACGTCCCCCACAGTGACAGAACACAAATTTCAGATGGTCACTTAAACACCGCTTTACCAGTAGCTTGGTCTAGCAGCCCGGTCCTGCGCATGGCAGAACGGAATGCAAGCGGAAGTTTCTTGAGACAGAATGAAATTCCTCTTTAAAATGCAGCTGACACACCAACTTCTCCCTTTTTTCTGCATCCTTTTCCATTACCTCTTCACTGGACTATGAAAATAAATTGCTAGAGAAGAAACAAATATCCATTTAGAACCTGAGGTAATCTTGAAAGAAGGAAAATTCACGAAGAATCAAATAAACACAAGCATCGGGACCTAAAACTCTGTGGCTTTCTTTTGAGTTGTTCTAACTTTGGCCATCACTGTTGAGCACTACGTCATGTGACACGATGTTACTTTTGTTTTGTCTCAAGCAGATTCTCATCATATGTCACAGTCTCCTCAGACTTACTCTCTAGCCCAGGCTAGCCCTGAACTCACCATCCTCCTGACTCAACTTGGCGTGTGCTTGGATTAATAGGCTTATACCACCAAATTGGGCAACTACAAAAATATTTTAAAAGAATGGGGTTAGCATAGATTCACACGTGCTGAACATGACCATTTAAAGGGACTTCTTATAACAAAGTTAAAATTTATTCTTGAGAAACCAAAAAAGAAATTACTCTTGTGAATGCCAGAACAAAAGTTTTATGACTGATAACTGTTGTAATCGAACAGACTCCACTTGAATTCAAAGTTCGAAGTTGTTGAAGGAAATGAACAATGTGGATGTAGTCAGAAGACCCTGTGGTGGTTATCTGTCAAGTCATTGTAAATTGCTACCTTGGTGTGAGAGAACTGACTCATCTCTGACGTTACATCAAGTAAGTCCACAGGAATCTGGGCTCTTGAGTAAAGTCACGCTGGCACCACCATCCAGCCAATGTTTGTGTCAAGCTAGTTAAGAGATTACATGGGTATAGCATGTACAAAGCCAAGGGGAGGGGTTGATACTTAATAGTAAGAGAAAGGAGAAGAGAAAGCAAGGGTTAAATGAGCATCTACAGGAAAAGCAAACACACCAAGTGAACATACACGTCCTGCTTCCTCATCTTTCAGAACTGAGTATAAATGCCCTGATACGCCAAACCTTATGCTCAGTAATCCAGCGGCATTCACCCAAATACAGACTAGGCTTCCATTGAATCCCAGAGAAGCCTTTAACTCTCTAAAAATGTTTATCTTTTTGATAAACTGCAAGAATGAAAAAAGGCAGACCAGATACTGACTGTGGGGCTTTGGGGAGGAATCAGGACTTGACTGATGGGCAGGAGAGACAGCGAATCAGCTATGTGCATTGGATGCTGTCATAGAGAACCCAGGTTCAGTTCAACATCCACACTGTCATTCATAACCATCTGTACCTCTGGTTCCATGTGATGTGATGCCATCTTCCAGCCTCTAAGGGCACTGGGTACAAGCATGGTCATAAACATCCATACGTATGAAGATAAAAATAAATAAATCTTTAAGATGAGGCCAGAATGCTCAGTTCATACTGAGCAATATGATGAATGGCCAGGAGGGACACTTCAGATGGAGCCACTTGACAGACAAAAAGACAGACTGGCATCAGTGTCCGACAACAATGAGAAAACAGAGGAGCTTTGAGGAAATGATGCCATGTGTCTTTCATAAACCCTCCTCTTGACTCTAGAGCATGCCCCCTAGATGTTCCATGTCATGACCATAGGTGAGAGCACAGGACCTGCTAGAGAGAAAGCGGGAGTGGTCTGAGTATTGCATGATGAAGAACATAGAGTAACTCAGAGAACACCGGTGTCTGCAATGTTTTTCCTCCTCTTCATAGATATCACCCAGCACCTATTGCTATCTGTGTCCCTGAAGAATAACAACTCACATTGCTGAGACTTTACATTAAAATTCACTGTAGCCTCAGAGCATAAAACATTTCAAAGTATTCAAGCCGTGATGTTACATATCTTATAGGATATCGCTCAAAAACAAGCAAATCACAAATCTTAAGGATTATTAAACATAGAGAAAAAATGAGTTTAACTTTAAAATATTAACTAGCGAAAGAAAATCTAAGATGTGACTGCCTCGCTGAAAAAGGTACCAAGCCACATGGCTAACAGATAAGAATTATGGGCTGATATGAGTTAATAAGAAGCCTGAGCTAATAGGCCAATCAGTTTATAATTAATGTAGACTTCTGTGTGTTTCTTGGGGCTGAACGGCTGAGAGACCAGGTGGGACAGAAAAATCTGTCAAAACACATATTGTGTTTAGCACAGTTTGTGACTTCTTAAAGGGTGTAGCAATTACATCAGTGACAGGTCATGTGTGTTCACCTGGTACAAATATCTCAAATACACTTCCATCTTCTAACACCATATATGTTGTCAATGCAATTTAAGATTAAGGAGTAAATTCTATAAAATGATCCAGACCTTCTTTAGGAGGTAAAGATAAAAGAGAATTGGAGAGAAACATTCTATGAAATATCTTGGAAATAAACTAAACATTAAGGAGCTTTTGACAAAGTCCTGGTTATTCGTTAGATCAAAAGCTAACTTGGTGGGCTTAGGACATGGCTTAGCAGTAGAGCACTTACCTAGCATGCATAAGACCCTGGCTTTGGTCCTTAACACTTCAGGAGGAGGAGAGGAAGGAAAAGGGGGAGGACCAGAAAGGGAGAAGAATTCTGACTCTGAGTGGTGTTTCATTTGCATTTTTTATTTGTTTAAAAAAATATTGAGCATTGTCATGGGTCAAGAATTGTAGAAGGCACTAAGAATGCAGTGATAAATCTAATACATTTTTCTTAAGGAAAATTTACTAGGGTTTCCTTTTCCTGACTTAATAGAAAATGTCAGATAACCTTCTCATCTGGTTAATCAGAAACTATTAGAAAAGCTGGAGAAAATGCAGCATGTAATTATCTGAGGCATAACTCGAGTATTCAAGATACTGGAGGGAAAGTCTGTTGAATACAATTGAATGGGTAACCCCCACTCCCACCCAACCTTCCTGGCCAAGGTCAGGATTGCAACAGAGGATCAAAGATGTAAAGCAGAAAACATTGATCAGAACCCTGGAAATCTGAGTTCAAATGTCAACAGCCTAAACTGACTGAGAACACACAAACTGGAGTTCAGAGAGCCCCAAAACAAACAGCTCTAGATAAATAAGCCAGACTTCAGAGACTTTGAAAGGGCAAGGCTTTAGGATTAAAGAGAGAAATCCAGGGCTGGGCATCCTTGGTCCTGGACCAGGTGATGGGGAGTTCTCAGACTGATTAGTCCTAATCCCCACCTGAGGAAGATAGTGGCAGGCAAAACATTACAAATCAGTTCAGTAATTCTCCAGATGTACCTGGGATTTAATAGCTAAACATTCATCATGCCAAGAGAGATAATTAAATGTTCAAAAGAGAGAGAGAAAGAAAAAAAGTAGAAACATATTCTGGATCAATGAACTTTGAGATTCTCACACAAAGACATTTAAAAACTAAAACTTCTTTTTAAATCACGTGGAAGAAAGTGGAATTTATCAAACTGAAAAGTGTAGTTTCTAAAACCAAGATATATGTCTATTCAATTAAATGGGATTTTTCAGATTAAATTGAGGAAGATATTAGAACTGAAAATCGGGTCAAATTAAAGCGTCCAGATTAGAGGACAGGAAAAATAATTGGAAAATAGCAATGAACAGCAAGTACATGGAATATACCATAAACATACCATAAATAGTCAAGTTACTGAAGAGAAAGGAGGAGAGGAATGGTTAGGGAAACCAGAGTTTCATGTGATGCTGCCCGAGAATATTCTGAAAGGTCAAAGGCATTATTAGTTCAAACATTTAAGCAGCTCACTCTCTAAAAACACATAAACTATAAAAGCAACAATGCATTCTGCAACATAATGAAAACGCAAAAGAAATCAATGTGTATTAGTCAGTTTCCTGTTACCATAATGAATATTGGAGACAGGGTGGGGAAGGGGAGAGGAGTCTATAATCCCCTTTGAGGTGGTGTCTCAATATTCTGAGATTTCCCACAAGGCATTCCCTCTTGAAGCTTCCCAAGTCTCCAGTGGCACAAATCAAAACCAAGCCTTCAGCATCTGTAAAGAACACTCCATATTCAAACTAGCAAGAAGAAAAAATTTAAAGTAGCCAGGTGAGGAAAACATTTAGTAGCTTCGGTAAATAAAGGCAACTTACATCAGAAATGGCAGTTCCCGGGACAGTAGAACACCACACAGCAGGAGCCATGAACACAGTCGTCAGAGCTACAGTGAGAGAAAGTATGCTTAAAAAGTAAATAAAAAAACAAAATAGAGGGGCTGGAGAGATGGCTCAGAGGTTAAGAGCATTGCCTGCTCTTCCAAAGGTCCTGAGTTCAATTCCCGACAACCACATGGTGGCTCACAACCATCTGTAATGGGGTCTGGTGCCCTCTTCTGGCCTGCAGACATACACACAGACAGAATATTATAATAAATAAATAAATAAATAAATATTTAAAAAAAAACAAAATAGAAATGTCTTCAGGCAGCCAAACTCAGGAAAGAAAGAAAAAAAAACCTATATCTTGTAAGAACTGCTCTAAAATAAATGCCAAAGAGAGGTCTACAGGCCAAAGGAAAATATTCCACAGGAAAACGTGGGAATTAAGGGAAAAGGAACAATTGCAGAATGTAGAAAATATGGAAAAATTCAAGTATTTATCAAATAAAATAAGGTGAACTAATTGGAGCTCCACTGTACATCGCAGAGGGAGTATAAATCTGTGGCTCTAGCAGGGTCTGGAAAATAACACAATCCCTGCCTTAGGAGAGCCCCGGCAGGGCAAAGACGCTGCTAGGACAGGGGCAGCAGGGCTCCTGCGTGTCTGGTCTTCACTTTAATTAGATGCAAATTGGTTGGCATGGTTAGGGCAGGTCCTTGATTTGTCCTTCATTCTTCTTCAGTGTTTCTGGTTAAGACTATTTGTTTGTCTCTCGGCTCCGTCCTGAGTTTTAATTCAGCCGATGCCTGTCATTGCTCATTTCAAGGCATTCTATAATTTTCAGATTTGTAATAGTGAGACTTTTCCTTTGCTCAACATGGGACTCTCTCATCCTTAAACAGGGGGTGACTTCATTTCAGCCAAATAAATCGATGCATATTCTGGGTATGGATTTGTTTTCCCCACCCCTCCACGTCTCAACTGAACACCATTTTCTGAGTTCTCACAAAATGTCTACTTCACTAACATAGTATCACGTCAGAGAAAGATGGACTATTTGGTGGGTGGTCTAAGAGTGGACTCAGGACAGCAAAACTGACAAACAGGATCACAAACCTTGGTGCTTGAAGCCCCTGGTATTGCTAAATGTCACAGCTGGCACACCAGTTCGGTTTGTAAGGTTAGGATTTCATCCTCGGTAAAGCAGGATACTCCACTATTGTATTTGATTTGAAAAATCCAAGTGGGCCAAAACCAATGCAGTAACAACGTCCCCACGGCTATCACTCTGTGACTTTGTAACTCTCATCCCCACAGCACAAGAGATCTAGATCCCTAAAGAGCTCCTACTTTATCAGATAATTGAAACAGAGACCCTTTCAACTACAAACTACACCCAGGGATGGGGCCAACAGGCAAGAAGGAGGGTTGCCATCTTTGCAAGAATAGTCACTCCTGATCATTACACAGAGTTTGACTGAGTAGTAATAACTATGGGTACCTTTTGGTTGTGACAAGCAAAGCAAGCATGGTTTGGACAGAGGATGATGACAGGGAGCAAAGACCCCCTCAGGGAAACCTAAATTAGGATGAGCTGGAGTTTGGAGAGATATGGAATTATGTACCAGAAGAGGAAGGACTGTCTGTCTCATCCTGACACCTTCTCCATGGACAGCATATTGATTCTATGGAATTCTGAGTTTCTCCAGATCCGCCCCAGTCCCAAAGCAGCTGTTGCGTGAATATGCATGAAGAAGAGGGGTTGCATGGCGGTGTAAAAAGCCATCTGTGACAGCCACGCTGCAGCTGCTGGACTTTACACACTTAGAAACTGGGTTACAAAGAAAGTCCTATCTCCCTAGCTTCCAGGAGCTCTGTGAGCAACATCCGCAAAGAGCCTCCTCCCAGAAGACAATGCCCTTCTGTGGTGGGCCACATCCAACACCTGCGGGTAGTCGAAGGATTCAACCAGTCCAACCCAGCGTGGGGGGTTGGAATCATATTTGCTCAGACCGCCTCAGTGGGTTGCCCAAGGCATACTTGGACAATTATCTCTTCTTTTGCCTGATTCTGCTTCCAGCTCTCCCTTCCACAGACACTGATTCCTTATGAATCACCAAAGCTTGCCTGGTCACCAAAGTAACTTTCATCTACTCCTGAGGGATTAGCCTGTGAGGATCATTAAAAACCACAAAGTGTCTGCAACAAATCTAAAGGACGATATACTACTTCACAACAAAATAAAGGCAAAAGCCTAATGGAAGAAGTAGGAGGATAATCCCTGGCGGCGGATTGAAAATGCATTGTGTACGTGCGTCCACTTCCCCCAAACTGACCTACAAATACAATGCATTCATAAAGCTGACTGTGACACTTACATAGAAAATCAAAGGACAAAAACATTCCCTTCTGCACCAGAAGCACAAAGTCTAGGAAATCATAAGCCAAGAAACCAGGAGAATAAAGTGGAAATAGAGGCACAAACAGGTCCAACAGCACAGAGATAAGAAACATATGTGCGGACAGCTGATGCCCAGCAAGGGGGTCATGAAGAGCAGGAGCAGAATGATCTTCTCAGCATGTTTGGAATCAACTGGTTTCCATACAGGAAATAGGGGCAATTTAACAGGGACCTCATCGTGTACTCAAAATACAGATCTAGGTGGACTACGTGTGGAGTGAAATGTACAGATAGAAATGCTCCAGCAGGTAGTCTAGGAGAATCTGCTCATAAATTTGGAATAGGCAGATGGGCCTGGGCTGTATAAGAAAGCTGAACTGAACAAGAGTCCTGGAGCAAGCCAGCACTGAAGTCTTCCTCCACGGTCTGTGCTCCTCTCTCCTGCTTCAGCTTCCTTCAGTGATAGATTACAACCTGTAAACTGCAATAACCTGTTCCTTCCTGAGTTGTTTTGGATCATGGAGTTTATCACAACAACGTAAAGCAAACCAGGACAGACAGTGACATATCACACGAGCACACGAACATACATGTATGTGTGCACGCGCATGCACACACACACAGACACACACACAACCACAAAAGCATGGAGCCCAAGAGCCAAATATCCATTTACAGTAGAACAGACCAAAGATGTTATTCATGTGATTAAATACTCTCTATGATGGAGAAAGGCAGCTAATGGTACTTAGAATTAAATGATGTATCTTAGAAACTTAATTTTAGATAAAAATGACAGCCGGAGGGCAAACTGTATGGTTCCATTTATATAAATTTCAAAGCTCTAGGTAAATAGGAGATGGAGCAGGACTCCCTGGGGAGTCCAAGATTAAACCTTGGGTACTGGCAAATGCTCTATTTCTGGCACGTGTGGAGGAGTGTGAGGATGTGTGCTCTGTGATCATCTATTGAACTATGTGTCTATCTTCTGTGTACTTATTTTAAAAATAATTAGAGACCTATGGGGCTAGAGCGTTGGCTTAGCAATTAAGAGCACTGACTGCTGCAGAGAACCTGAGTTCAGTCCCCAGTGCCCACATGGCAGCTCCCAACCATTGCGACTCCAGTTCCAGGGAATTTGATGCCCTGCCCTGGCACCTGTGGGCACCTGCATGCACATAGGATACATCCCTACAACCAGGCATGCCTATATATAATATAATTATAAAATTTAAACTAAGCTCTATGGCCAGTACAGCTATGAGTAAAACATAACACATGCCTCCCGAATTAATGTGTGGAGTTCACTTGCTGTGCCTCAGAATGGGAGATTTGGGCCCAGGGATTGGATGTAGATCCCCACACACCCTGTGCTGAGACCACTAGTCCTTTCGCTTTTCCACAGCTGTTCACACGCCTGTCTCACATCACGGATGTTTTACTGACTCTCTGAGGCACTAGACCCGAACACAAACTTTTATTTCTAAGATAACATCCTGTACCCCCTTGCTTTACTTCGGTTCCCAAACTAAAATAGCCATTGGCTTCCTCAGCTTTAAGCAACGAGCTTTTCAGCTCTACATTTATGGGTTTCTCATTTTTTAAGTGGAGCAGCCGGGCCAACACCACAAACCTAAATATTTTTGCTAGTACAAGTACCGTTCGCTGCAGATGAGTTCTTTACAGGGGAAACCTGGCTTCTCCCTGCTTGGGTCTGGCCAAACAGACATCCCGCCAGGCTTACCATGAGAGATCAGCTTTCCGACAACAGCATGAGGAATATTTCCCATCCAGGGCTGAATGGCTCCTGACAGGAGGTTGCAGGTTTGGCAAGACACCGCAGGGATCAGGCCAAGCCAAACACGGAGTGGAAAACTGTTCAGCACTGTACCGTAGCCGGTTCCCTGGAACTGGCTCACACGTGTGACTGTCTCTGGTTAATAATGAGACATCAGCACGTACTGTACAGAGGATGTACCTCAGCCAGGTGGGACAGGCATGGCGGGACCCTCGGAACAATCCCAACCTAACCAGAAATGAACTTGAGTTCTTCCAAGATCCTCTGATGCTGGAGATGCTTGCCTGTCACAGGAAAGATGCCCGGAGCAGAAGTGTGGTTTGCAACCCATATGTCTGAGGGCTTTTTCTTTTAATCAAGGACAGAAATGCTGTTTTCACATCTCAGAAAATGAAATAAAGCTCAAAAAGAGAAAACTCCACTCAGCTCACATCTCTCTAAGACCCCAACATCTGCCTTCAACCTTCTTGTTACTTGGCTGCAGTCGGCAGGTAGATATAGCATTTCTATCCATCTCACATAGTGACAGGTACACTCTTCATCTGCAACCTTTGAGGGTGTATTTATATGACCTTTAAATCAAAATTTGTTCATTTGTTTTAAAAACCTTTAAAAGTTGCCATGAACAGACCTCTGTGAGCTGCCTCCAATAAGCAGCTTTTTGGAGAAAGAACTGACCTTTTGAACCTAAACCTGATCTTGCCATGACTTTGACACCACTGCCCTTGACATGAGTAACTGGGAGTTATGTGTCCACTGACTTTTGAAGCCAGTAGCACTTCCCTATTATGTATGGAACTGGAAGTGGTGAGCATGTATGCACACAGCAAGAATAGCAGGAGGTGGTGAGCATGCATGCACACAGAGCAATTACAGTAGCAGATGGTGAGCCTGCATGCACATAGCAAACGCAGCAAGAGGAGGTGAGCATGCACACAAGTGCAGCAGGAGGTGGTGAGCATGTGCACACACACACACACACACACACACACACACGAACACATATGCAAATGCAGCAAGAGGAGGTGAGCATGCACACAGCAAGTGCAGCAGGAGGTGGTGAGCATGTACACACACACACACACACACACAGCCAGTGCACCAGGAGATGGGGAGCATGCACACACACAGCCAGTGCGCCAGGAGGTGGGGAGCATGCACACACACAGTCAGTGCAGCAGGAGGTAGGGAGCATGCACACACACAGCCAGTGCAGCAGGAGGTGGGGAGCATGCACACGCACAGCAGTCACAGAGCAAGACAGTCCCTAAAAATGTGGAAAATTTCACATTATGATAGACTTTACCAACCAACTAAAGCTACCAAAAGCCCCTACCTGTGAGAATATCAACTTTAAAAGTTATGTAGATTTCAAAGTAATATATAGATGCACATATTTACTGATTATATCACGTCTGCTGACATTTCTATTAGTAGTAACAGCTAGTAATCCCTGATATTCAAGTATATCTATATATAAACCGATGAAAAAATTCTTACAAAGGTCCAGTACACTTTTTCCAACTAACATGCTAATGTTCACTTAGCTAAAATTGTGTCCGATCTATACCTTCTTACCATTCATCTTTTTATTTTCTTGTGACTTCACATCACCCCACTTTGTTGTAACATGAGGGCCAGCTTGTTGGGGTATCTGTCCCACCCAGTACCCCATGGCCGGCAAGCCCCAAAGAAAATCACACACAGGACTCCATAAAATTATAAACTGATTGGCCCATTAGCTCAGGCTTCTTGTTAACTCTTATAGCTTATATTAACCCATTATTCTGATCTATGTTAGCCATATGGCTTGGTACCTTTTTCAGCTGTCAGCTCACATGTTGTTTCTTCAGTGGTCTGGGCAGGAATGGTGGAGGGAGCTTCCTGCTTCCCAGAATTCTCCTGTTCTCATTGCATCACCTCTACTTCCTGTCTGGTTTTCCAGCCTCTGTTTAAAATATGATTGACAGATTACAGACAAATCTCTCTCAACACTTTGTGGTTCTGTATCTCATTGTCACCTCAGGAAAATGGCAAAAGCCTGGACCTCCTCACCCCTGGAATTCCAGACCAGCTCACTCACCAGAGTGGACCTACGATTTCCTTGTTCCCATTACATCAGTGGCAATGGTTTAACAGAATCACAGCACACTGTGCCGTTCAGCTCAGACAGCTCTGTGATGTAAATGTTCACATCTTTTTTCTTTCATAACAATTCCTGAAAATGTGTATAGCCCTTTGTAGGCCATATCACTCTATCTAACCCTCATCAGAGTTCTAAGACACATGGGTTCTGTTCTGACTAGATCAATGCAGTAACTGAAGCCAGTACCAGATCTACACCTCCCGTCCCCAGAACAAAGATTTTTGTCATTCCACCTGCTCTTAATGTATGAAAGGAATGAAGGAACGGATAGAGAGAAGGAGGGAGGGAGGGAGAGGGAGGGAGGGAGGGAGGGAGGGAGGGAGAATAGAAGGAAGGCTACTTGAACTCACTTCCTTCTGTTAAATGAGCTGAGAAAAGAGGGCACCTGCCTAAAGAGAAAGAGAGGCTAAGTAGCCTGAAAGGTTATAGCACTCTGCCTACGCCCCAGAGAGAATATATTCTGCAAAGATTTGTTATATTTTTAATTATATGTACATAGGGGGATATTGTATGAGTAAATGCCAATACTAAGAGTGCAGGTACCATCAGAGACCACAAGAGGAAACCCAATCTCCTCTAACCTCAGTTAGAGGTGCTTGTGAGCCCCCTGACAAGGGTGCTAGGAACCAAACCCAGGTCCTCTGTAAGAAGAGTATGCTCTCTTACCCACTACTCCCTGTTTCCAGCCTGAGAGAGAGAAAATACCTTTAACAGAGAGAAGCAAACAGAGGCTTAGATGTGATTGTTACAACCTTAAAGGAATGCAAACCACTTTTAACATTCAAATGACTAGCACTAACAGACATTCTTGGGGAGAGATCCGGATCAAAACCATTTCAAGCAGAGCCCAGACAGCTCCGCATTTACTTGCAACTGTTCATGTATCTCTGTTCCACAGTCAAGCTAGAAAAATACCAGCAGAATGTGAGTGTAAAGTCAAGGCTTCTGGAAGAGAGGACAGTCTGAAAGATGCCTGTGATGGGAAAGAAAGGCAGTCACTGAAACAGCGCAAGCAGGAGACCTGGAAGATGATTGCAACTGAAAGCCAGATCACTGGACGCTTTAACAGACAGCCTGCTGTAACCACACAAGCTGTGCAGCTGAAGTTATCAGGAAGTGCCCTAAACCACTCGATACTGGATCCCAGAATCTCAGGTCGGCAGAAGTCCCCCTCTGCATCCCTCCTGGCTTCAGTTTCTGTCTCCTAGTCTTCTGTTCCAGTGTTTTGCAATGTCATCCAAACCGTGAGTTTATGCCAACCTACACTAACTCCCAAAACTATTTTAGACTACTAAATCATGTCCAAAATCCTACTCATGGGGTTTCAGAGATGGCTTAGGGGTTAAAAGTGCTGGCTGCCACTAGCAGGGGAGCTAGGTTCAGTTCCTAGCACCCACATGGCAGCTCAAAACCATCTGCAACTCGATTCCCAAGGGATATGATGCCCTCTTTCACCTCTGTGGGCACTACATATATGGTTCGTGTAAATGCTCTCAGGGATGCATGCTCGCACATACACATAAAATTAAATAAATCTGTTTTTAATGAATTCAGTGCCCTCCCAGAAGTCATTGATCAACACGAACTGGCATTGGTAGGAAGGAAGAGATGGAGGGAGGGAGAGTAAGAAAGAGATGAAGGGAAGGGATGGTGCTGTGTGGTGGGGGTAGGGAGGATTTGGGAAGAGTTAAGGAAGGAAGATGAATGTAATAAAAAAATATATCGTATAATCTCCTCAAAGAATTAATAAAAGAATAAAAATATAATTCAGGTAATATGTCCATCCTATAGATTTTATATCCATAGTTGAGTCAGAACCAATTCCTTACACGGAGGTCACACTAATTGGAAAGATCCACAACCTAAACTCTTTGTGTCTTTACCCCATAAAAGACATGACCTTTGGAACCAGATGGCTGTACTTCAAAATGTGATTCTTCCCTTCTTTAGGGAAGCTACTGGTCTCAGCATCCTCCTGGAGATGGAGTTCGGTTGGTAGAGCACTTGCCTTAAGCTTACAAAGCCCTGGGTTCAGTGCTCTGTTTAGGTGTGGTGGCACACTTCTGTAATCTAGTATGCAGGAAGTGGACCCAGAGAATAGGATGTTCAGGACTATCTCAGTGACTTCACAAGTTCTAGGCTAGCCTAACTTAAAAAATTTCCATGAGCCAGGCAGTGGTGGTGTGCACCTTTAATCCCAGTACTTGGGAGGCAGAGGCTGGCAGATCTCTGTGAGTTCGAGGCCAGACTGATCTACACAGCGAGTTCCAGGACAGTCAGAGCTGTTACACAGAGAAACTCTGTCTCCAAAAACAAAAGCAAACAAACAAAAAAACAAACAACAACAACAACAACAATACTTGAATGGTAATATACATTTTCTACTCTATATGGTTATCAATAATCTTATAATAATACAAAATAATATTAAATGAGTTAGTACATTTGATGGTTTTAAAATGTTATCTGGTTCACAGCAACTGAATAAATCAGTAACATTATCTTAATTTATTCAAGATGGTTAGCTTCCTTACCATTAAGTAGTTTAGCTATGTTACTACATCTTTGTCAATGACTAATATGCTATTTTAAAATAAATCTTATAGCCAGGTGGTGGTGACACATACCTTTAATCCCAGCACTCAGGCAGAGGTAGGCAGATCTCTGTGAGTTCAAAGCCAGCCTGGTCTATAAGAGCTAGTTCCAGGACAGCTAGGACTGTTACACGGGGAATCCCTGTCTGGAAAAATATAAAAACATAAACAAATCTTACATATTTATGACAGATAGTTTATGTGGATATCATCTTACAATAATTTATGTAACAATATAATACCTTGCTCATAAGTGGCTGTAGTGGTCTGCATGAGAAATGTCCCCTGTAGGTTCAGGTACTTAACCCTTGGTGCTCAGTACATGGC